TCTATGGTGTTGCTTAATGCAATGGTTCCCAAAGTAGCCGGCACCTATCGAAGTCGTGAATAAAACACTCAAAATGGTTCACTCGGAATTTAAGAGTGCTCGAAAACAGAACTACCAACAGATGAAATTCGGTATATATATTTACCTTATGAAATCCACAAGAAGTAGTCCAGTTATCAGTAATTATGCAGTCTAGATGTCGTAAGATTATGCAGTCTTAGAATTTGACATATTTAATGAAATTACCCCTATCGTACTCTTATGGAATTCGGCGTGATTGTTGGCGGCTTATGAGTGATTTCCTGTTTCCGGCTATACGTTTCGAAAATAGCAAATCCCCTTTTGTCCATTTGATTTTAAACTATTACGAGTATTTCAGTCGTGGATATGGTCTAGTGATAGTGTTATGATATGCCTGCTACATGTGCTGCTTCATTTTTGAGAAGTAAAAAGAAAAACACGGAAGGAAAGCTATTCTCCAGCTTACATTGCACTCGGCATTTATGACTGTAATGTAAGCCCTTAGTAATGCAGCGTACGCATTTTTTTTGTTAATAATTATTTTAAGTTATATATTATTATTGTGTGTCTGGACTACCTACAAAATATAAATATGTTTATGTTGTTTTATTTCAATGGGGAAATCACAGGCTTTGTGGAAAGCAGTGTAAATTTCATTAAAGATGTCTGAAGTTTCTTATTCTCTTCTCCTTGTTCAGCACAATTTGAGTGTAAAAATTGGGATGAAGATTGCCAGTAGTTCCCTGGTCTCGTTACGAGCGCCGTGCAAGAATATGGTAAGGTAAAGCTATCCCTGTAATAGGCCGTTGAGGCCCATAGAATTGTGAGACGTCGAGGCTCCCACATTTTCTAGACAATCGGCTCACAGATGGCGGTCAGGTTGTAAGCCCCCAGGAAGATTCCTGGTACTCATTTCTGTTAGACGCTGAGTCGACCCGAGGGCCATAATGCGGCTGGAAGAATTAGGTAAATTGAAAAATCCAAGTGGTTGCCACCTCGCTGCTTCCAAACTTTCAGAGCGTATTCGGAATACCAGCCCTACATGTCTGCCTGCATCTGACGAGCGACCCATAGCTAGCTAGATGGGAGGATACATTTTCTTGAAGTCGGAAACAGGCCAATTGCATATACCCTTGAAGAAGTAGTAGTAGAAGAAGAAGAAAGTTGGTATGAAATTACAGCTGAACAAGTAAGTCTCACTAAAGGCAACTCTTTTTGTTTATTAATTTATGCACTTAATATTACTCTTGAGCTAGGACTGTTTTTCTTTCTTTTTTTTTTAAGGTTTTAATATTTTCCCATAAATTTGCTGTTATAGTTTTCAGTAAGATTTTGAAAAATTATCTTTACATTTGTATAAATCATTTCATTATATCAGATAGGGCCCAAAAACGTCCTTCCGAAAAGGTTCCGTGAACCTTAAATCCGCCACTGAGAAAATTAGTTAGCCCAGTTGTTAGAATGACGTATAAGGTTTATTCTGAATTACAGGATTTATAGCCAAACGCAGATTGTTAAATTAATCACACTATTGTGTGTCAAAAGTCGGAAGGAGAACTTTCCTAGTCAATGCTTCAGTGAGGTTTTCTGCTTGTGAAAGTTAATTGCTGAAACTGTACGCCTACGTTTCATAATATCATCACTGATACTCGCATTATCAAGATCAAAACGTTTTCTATAAACAGATAAGTAAATTGAAATATTAAGAAGCCGAAAGAAATGACATCTGCGAAGATAATAAAAGACAAAAGGTTTAAAATTGTTGTTTCTGTTCTTCAGAAATTTATCGATTTCAGGAGATAACAATGACCACTGTGTTAGTGATGACATAGACGGTGGATAGTCATGTCTTACTTGTTCCAGAACGTGAAGCTGTTGAAGTGACGTTCCGAGATTTGTGGTATATATATCTGTTTCCTTGAACATAAGGATTTTCACACAATGTTCTTTAAAACCATAATAATTAGTGAAACGTTAATTTTGAGTGTTTTCTTAATACTGGATAACACAAACATAGCCAATGGTAAGTTACTGCAACACCCGTCAAACTGAAGACTCGTTGTTTTATGTGTCATTATGGCTGTGTCCATAGTAACCCATATGTTGTATAGGATAATGAATATAGCTCATTCATCGGAAATGCAGGGATCCTTAACAGTGGCAGGAACTAAGCAAATATAATGTATTGTTGTTTCTAAATTAGGTGTCACTTTTAGGATACGGGAAAGGAGGAGTCCCTTGTCGTGAAAATATAAAAGAATTAGATAAATTATGACTGCAAAGTGCTGTACAGAGAGGGGCGCTAATTTTTGTGTTTTCATAGAGGACGCTTCTTCTTAAGCTATTAGTAGCTCACCCAATTGAGAAGTTCGCAGCCTTTTGTGGAGCCCAAGTGTCATTACCGTTATTGCAAGAGCTTGCCTCTGGTCTCTGACGTGAACGAGACTAAACCAGTCCACATTAACATATCAATATTTTTAGATTCACTTTAAAGTTAAATTTACTGATATTACCAAAGTTCTCCCAAGTTGTCTTTTCATTTCATCTTGCCCGAATAAAATCCTGCAATTATTTTTTATTTCTCCCATCCGTGCTGCATATCCCGCTCCTCTCATCCTTCTTAATTTAATTAAATTAATAACAGACACGAGAGAGCAAAATATACAAATTTCGATGTTTTTCTAGGTGTAGATGTCTTCAGCACCCTCTTCTATTTTCACATTTGTATTTTTCATGGTGCAATTTTCTTCAGCCTCCCATTCTGGTTTGCATTTTCTGAAGTCCGTTATTTAACGATGCTGTCGCTGTCTAGAATATAATGCTTAAGCAGCCTCCTTAAAAAAATCTCTGGTCATGATCCTCAAAGGATTGGCGTCAAGACGAACTGACTGGCGGTAAGCCGCCAGTCTTAAAGTAACTTTGTCTTTGAGTTTGACTTTGTTAATTCCGTTTCATACATCCAAATATTACCAGCACCCCGTCAGCAATATCCGTAATTTATTTTCTCTCCCTAAGATAAGATGCTCTGTGTCATACTCTTAAAAACACAGAAGATACGGTTATAGTTTTGACATGTTAATCATTAAGTTTTTAGATAGGAGGCACTAGGATAAATATACGGAACTGAATGGTGTCAAGAATTCCCCGAATTTTATCTAACATTCTACATGAATCAGATTCCGATTTGAGCTTCCGGTCGCAAATAGCACGTTTGAACTTCGACACATTCTCGACGGATCTGTTGGCTGCCGTTATATTCTGAGTTTGTTCTTCCTGTTATTCTATCATACGTAACTAAGTCTAACTATAGAAAACCTACATGCAAGTCTGCGAATATAAGTTTACGGAGACCTGCGTAATACCTGAAGTCAGTATTTTGCTGAAATATTTTCCCGGGACACTGAATTATACACTATCATTCAACCACTGACCTAAATACGAGGGTCGTAATGAAAGTCATGAGCAACAATTTTTTGTAAAGTAACATGCTTTATTATTGACAAACCAAATACACCATCTCAATCTACAGACCTTTCTTTATTGTTCCACATAATCGCCACTTCTTTGTATAGATTTCTCCCAGCGTTCTGGGAGTTTGAAAATTCCCCTTCTGTAAAATTCCATTCCAGCCATCCGAAGACACGGAGGCACTGCTTTCTGAATTGCCTCACTTGTCTCAAAACATTGTCCACGCAGCTGATCCTTCACAAATCCGAAAGGATGGTAGTCGGAGGGTACCAGATCAGGGCTATAGGAGGGGTGTGGAAGAAATTCCCACCCCATCTCTGCAATTGCTTCCAATGTGAGGCGAACAGATGAAAAGGTTTATTCCTAATGACTTTTGATAACATGCAATCGCTTTCTTTATAGCAATGTAAACTCTTTGATAATATGAAATTATTCTAAAATGCGGTCCACACAGCCGAAAGAAGAATAAACGGTTCTCAGATCTATATCACATTAAATTTGGCATTATGCGTTGAAAGTTAAATGTACAGTGTACGGAACTTACCTTGGCAACAAAATATTCTAAATGTATAATCCTACATATTCGTAAGTTGTAACGAATGGTGTGGGTTATTGTTGATCATTTATGCAGAATGGTCAAAAATTATCTGCTTGAACTGATGCCGTGCGTACAAATGTTATACCTACCTTCTTGAACCCGAAAGTGGGCCTCTTATATTTCAACTATATATTATTCACATATTTTCCTAGTAAAATATGGCTGAAAGATAATTTTGACTTCTTAGAATGTCAGAAGATTAGGCGAGACCTTTAAGACCAGTGCCCTCTTAAAATGAAAGATAGGTACCGATACACACTGAAATATACGTACTTGTAACCCGAATGAGAAAATAAAAGCAGGAGTAGAATTAATACGGGCATAGGCCGCGCCATAGCTCAAGCGGTTAGTCGCTGGCTTCCCATCGCGGTGGCCCGGGTTCGATCCCGGGTCTGGTCAAGTGGTATTTGTGGTGGACAAAGTGGCGCTGGGGCAGGTTTTCTCCGACTACTTCGGTTTCCCCTGCCAATCTTCATCCCACCAACTGCTCCACAATCACCATCACCTATCATCTGGGGCTGGTACAATAGGCCAGAAGTGGCCGCAGTACAAGGGACTTAGTCCCACCCCACTAGCAATAAAAAAAATACGGGCATGTGACAAGTATTGACTCAGAAGTATGTCCAGGATATTGGTATGTTACGAATCGAAAGGCTGTAGAGAGTTAGGAAGACCCAAAACTGAATACGAAGCAGAATTTTCTATGGTTTGAAGAGGAATCAATTAATCAAGCACGACGCTATAAAGATGTATGTGAGAGTGGACTTACAGGTATATTCTTTATTAAAAGTCAACACTAGCTGGAGGTGATCGGTCAGCTTAAAACCCTCAACCGCTTTACCGACCGGGCAAGAACCCTCGCAGCCCCCTTAAACAGTTGTGTTGGCCCCACTGCACGTTTGGAATCGTGCTGTGGAAATAGACAGGCTTTTCCGGGGGTGACTGTGAAAATTGGTGTGTTCTATTTAGTGACTCTGTTCAGTTTGGTATATATTTACCAGCGTTTCGAAGGAACTTGCTGCCTCCATTCCTTATCCTAAAGATGAAAGGAACCTCATGCCTTCAACTTTTATCGAGGCAGTGGCCTCCACCAGACGACACGACGCAGAATCATCAGAATATAATATAATTTGCAGACACTGCAGAGGAACGCACTGTACTCGTACCTTATCCTTCATGATGTGCTACCTAGAATCGTCTTGTGTGATGTGGCATTCTTGTTACTGGCTCGAAATTGCTAGCATATGGCATTACGGTTGATGAGGGAATGGATGAATAATGGTAATTCCCAAGTGCGCTCTTATCTGTTTTTTTAATAATATAAATAAGTTACTAGATTTAAGATTTTACCAAGTTTCATACCAGTCTTAACCAACTCCATTTGGCAAATCCTTAAGCATTTGATAGTCGCTCATTTAGATGGAACCCGAAGGTCCAGCATCATGTCCACAAGGACTCACCAGTGGCCTCTGCCCTTAGTTAATTTAATTCCACACACATTATTATCTTGTGGAACGTGGTAGCATAGTTGGTTGAGGTACTATGCTACAAGCCGAAAGGTCACGGGATCGAATCCCAGATGAGGTGGATTTTTCAGTTGACCTAATCCTTCCAGCCGCACCATGGGCCTGGGGTTGACTCAACCTCTAACAGAAATGAGTACGAGGAATATTCTTGGGGGTAAAGGGTGGCCGGCGCATAAGACTGACAACCTTACCATCATCTATGAGCCGATTGTTTCGAAAATGTGGGAACCTCAACATCTTAAACCACATGGGCCTCCACGGCCTGTTACATGGATATCTTTACTTGCTTGCTTTTACACATTATTATCCTAGTTTTGTAGATATATATTTAATTATCTTTTCATCCATGCCTAGGTCTTTCAAGAAGTCTCGAAACTTCAGGTTTTCCAGATAAATTGTACATATCTCACATCTGTCCCATATGTGCTTATGCAGTATTCACTACCTGCTGTGCTTCAAGGAAAGTTGTAAATCCATTGAAGTGGACAGAGTTAGAGTTCCCAGACAGAATACGAGTACCAAGTATCTGTAACACAACTGGATATTTAAATTCATTCATTCATTCATTCTTTTATTAATCCTGTAGATCATGATACGATGATATAGGACAAGTCTTTCAGCTAATATACATTACTAAATTACAAATACTAAAAAATTATATAAAATATACAACATTTTATACACTATATACTGTATACTTCTGCTTATATCAGTAGCCAGTATTCGAGAATTCATTGTTCAAATAGTCATCCGTTGAGTAATAGCACCTCTGAATAAGTAACTTCTTCAATTCCCTTGTGAACTGATTTTTGTTTTCTATTTCTTATATGTTGTTAGGCAGTTTGTTGTAAAAGATACAGCCAGCTACTGAAGGATTACTATTATAAAGTTCTAAGTTGTGCCCATATATATGATAGTCTCTGTTATTTCTTGTGTTATATGTATGTATTTGTTCATTCACTGTGCAGTTACACTTCTTTTTTACATATAGGATTGTTGTATATACTCGTATAGTGAGTATACTGTTAGTATCTGTAGATTTCTAAAGCTATCCCTGCACGATTCCAGATGTTTTAGCCCTGTAATGTATATGCCCTTTTTTGGAGTACAAAAATTCTTCTAATGAGGATCTTAGCACTATGTCCCCATACTANTATGTTGTTAGGCAGTTTGTTGTAAAAGATACAGCCAGCTACTGAAGGATTACTATTATAAAGTTCTAAGTTGTGCCCATATATATGATAGTCTCTGTTATTTCTTGTGTTATATGTATGTATTTGTTCATTCACTGTGCAGTTACACTTCTTTTTTACATATAGGATTGTTGTATATACTCGTATAGTGAGTATACTGTTAGTATCTGTAGATTTCTAAAGCTATCCCTGCACGATTCCAGATGTTTTAGCCCTGTAATGTATATGCCCTTTTTTGGAGTACAAAAATTCTTCTAATGAGGATCTTAGCACTATGTCCCCATACTATTANATATGTTGTTAGGCAGTTTGTTGTAAAAGATACAGCCAGCTACTGAAGGATTACTATTATAAAGTTCTAAGTTGTGCCCATATATATGATAGTCTCTGTTATTTCTTGTGTTATATGTATGTATTTGTTCATTCACTGTGCAGTTACACTTCTTTTTTACATATAGGATTGTTGTATATACTCGTATAGTGAGTATACTGTTAGTATCTGTAGATTTCTAAAGCTATCCCTGCACGATTCCAGATGTTTTAGCCCTGTAATGTATATGCCCTTTTTTGGAGTACAAAAATTCTTCTAATGAGGATCTTAGCACTATGTCCCCATACTATTATTCCATAAAATAGATGAGGATAGATCAAACCGTAATACAACATTCTTCTTTCATTTAAATCGAGTATTTTAGATAGCCTGTTAATTATGAACAGGTTATGGCTAATTCTACTTCAGGTTTTTCAATATGTAATTCCCAGCTCAAGGTACTACCTCCAGGAAATTTGTGCTTTTTACATTTGATATTTCCCTGTTCTTTATTAGGATTTTTAGATTACTTTCCTGCCTCCATTGTTTTGTCTGGAAGAGAATATAGTGAGTTTTAGATGGATTTATAAATAAATTATTTGTCTCAAAGTATTGTTCTACCACTCCTATATAATTTGAAGTCGTGTTTTGGAGCTCATTCATATCTTGTCCTACATTCAGTATTGATGTGTCATCAGCATACATTACTGATCTGCCTTGTGTTAGATGTGGGATATCGTTTATATACAAGATGAAGAGCAATGGGCCAAGGACCGATCCCTGGGGGATTCCGTATCTCGCTGGGAGGCTACTTGGCAAATATTCTTTCATACGATTACCTTATGTGTGTGTTACTTTTACGTGTTGAGTTCTGTTTCTGAGATAGAATTTGATTAGCTTATGTGGTATACCACGGACTCCATATTTGTATAATTTATCCATGAGAATGTTATGTTGAATACAGTCTGATAGTCTAATAGTACACAGTTGCGTTTTATTTTATCATTCAGACTTTCAGTTATGTTTTCAATAATTGTGGCAATTGCATCATTAGTAGTTTTATTTTTCCTAAATCCCAACTGAGATTTATTAAGTATATTGTGTTTTTCTAAAAATGCTATTAATTGATTAGCTATTACTGTTTCCAGAACTTTTGAAAGGGCAGGTATAAGAGTAATTGGACAGTAGTTATTTGCATCTTCTTTTATCCCATTTTTTGTAGATTGATTTGTCTCTGATTTCTTTAGTTTAGAAGGGAAGATGCCTTCTCTGATTGGTGCATTGGCCAAATCTAAGAGTGGCTTTATTATGTAAGGTGTAAATTTTTTTTAGCAGATATGGCGAGATGTCACCAAGTCCTGATTTTTTATTCTTCATGCCCTGAATTACTTTAATCAATTCAGTCTCTTTTATTTCTAATAGGACAAGTGAATCTTTTATGCATATATTGTTATTACTAGTTTGTGGATGTAATAAATTTTTGTCAAGTATAAGTTTATTTACAGTTTCTATGAAGGTTTTGTTAAATATGTTACATGTTCTACTCGGACTTGAGACTGTTTCGTTCCAATCTTGTAAGTGTATATTACTAGTGAGAGTATTTTTTGGTGAGCCTCTTTCTCTATTAACAAATTCCCACAATATTTTTGGAGTGTCATTTGATCTGGTTATAATATTCTGAATGTAGTTTGCTTTTGTTTTTGTTAATATTACATTATATTCCTTTTTATATGCTTTATAGATGTCTCTATGTTCCTGAGCCTTACTTTGCATATAAAGGTTGCACAAATCCTTTAGTTTTGTTCTTGCTATTTTGGCATCTTTTTTTATCCAGGGGCTTTTTGAAGTACTTATGGTATTTCTCCTCAGTTAATAGTTAATAATAGTTAAAAATGCTATAAAAAGAGTCCCATTTTTTTCTACCTCATTTTCCCTGGACACTTCACTCGAAATTTCAGTTTGTATTGAAGAGCATAGACCTATTATATTGGCTTCTGATATATTCCTGACCTCTTTGTAACATCTTGTTTGTTGTGGTATAGACATATTAATAGTTATACATTGTGCAAAATGATCTGAAAGTAGGCTGTTTATTACTTCAGAATGATAGTAATTAGCCGGTATATTAGTTATGATTTGGTCTATAGTTGTAGCCGTACTTTCAGTTACTCATATAGGTGTATTTATTGTCACAGTCAGATTATAAGCTTTTGTAACATCTAATATTTTTTTGTGACTACTTCCACCTTCTTGGATGCTTCGGACGTTATGTATCTGTAGATCTGCCCAAGATCCACCGAAATGACTTGAGTCAAGAGATCCACGACTTAATAATTGAAATTGTGTGGCGTAAACTTTCTTTTTTTCAATAACTTAAGTGAGTTAGAATTGTCATAAACAGTAGAATCTTTGAAGGCTGATCTCCACAGGGCTTCTCACCTGCAGTCACCTGATGCATACCCACAAACTTGAGAAAAGTCATTTTTGCACATCTGCTGTTGCATTGTACAAGTATATTGTGAGCTTTAGACCACAACCACACATGAGAGTACTACAGAAGATGTATTTAGAAAATGAAATTACTAGGTCTCCAGCAATTCAGAGGTCATAAATTTTACTTCAAGCCATAATGAATATTTTCCACAGGAAATGTGCTATTCAGAGTGTATTACATATTATTTATAGGGGAAACAGGGTTACAGTGAACCTAAAGTAGTAAATCATAAACTTCATGACTACATGAACCCCACTTTTGAATTCTCAGAATATGCCACCTGTCATTTATAATTATATTTTCTTTCAGTTTCTCTTGCATTCATCTCTTTGTTTTATCCAGATGCGCAGTCTTCATGGTTGCGAGCAACTTACATAAATCCCTGTAATATTACACACATCATTTCCCTTAAGGAAATAAAGTAAGCTAGTTGAACTACAAATCTATACTGTATTGGAATGGATTATGATAATTGTTTCTGAAACAAAGAAAGAAACAAATATGGCAACACTATCCGTATAACCACTTCATGTAAATTTGCCTTGAAATAATACTGTCACAAGTAATCAGACTTCATTATTTTCTCTGGCGAATGACATGAAGTACTGAAACAAGATGGCATAAGGAAGTCATCTACAAATACTCCTATAATATCCCCTTGAATAGATGTTGAGTATTCAGATATAGCTGTTATTACGTGCTATTTTAGAAATCCAGGTTTTACCAGCTTTGGCCAGTTGATGAGATTTTCTAAGTTTTTACCAGCTATGTAATGATTCCATTTTCCTCTTCATGATTCAGTAATCCAGACACAGTTTCCATTTGTCCAGATGAATTAGTATAGTGGTTTGTATTGAAGAACAAAAGACAACTGTAAGAAATTTAATAATTTTGTGACAAAGATTTTGGATTTTGACAGATTTTATCTTAGTACTAATAAACTTCATTTCTCTTGCAGCTTGCACTCTCATCAGACCTGATGGTACAAGGGTGGATCTTATGGGTCTTCCGTCAGATTCTCCAGTATATGAAGGAAGTGAACAAATTTCAGATAATGAAGCTCCTGGGTTACTCTACACTTACACAACTGACGGCATCGTCTCTTTTGATCCAGGTATGGAGCATTATTATGAGACACGAAAGAAAATTGTTAATTACTGAACTACTAGAGATAACCCCATCCTTGTATTTTTAATTTCACATTATCAGTATCAGTTGTTATATGAAGAAAACCTGATGTAAGGAGGTTTGAAAATGGTGATAATTTTTGTGGAATCCCTTAACGATGAAAATGTGTTAAGCAGAAGGTCACAAAGTAATGTCTTTCATACCACATTAGATGCAGGATACAAGTAAAGCGGCCCATTGTTTTTAATGAGAAATCATTTCTAGAGTAAAATAAGATTTTAAAACATGTACTCCATAATGTAGTACCCAGAATTACCAGTGCATTCCTTGAAGTTTATTAATCTGATTCAGAAATAGGAATAATGCAATGCAGATTAGTGAAATATAGAAATTCGACCAAATTTGCCACAGGGTTCATGGGATTTGTAGAAAATTCCATTTATGGCCATATGCATGGCTTTGTAGGCTTAAAATCAAAAGAACGTTTTGGTGGAAGTGTCCATTACCAAATTTCAACAGAATCTGCCACACAGTTTGTGGGATATATGGAAAAGTCCATTTATAGTCATATGCAAACTAGGTTTTATTAGGGATCAGTACAGCTGAAAATCAGAAATGCCTAACAACTTTTGGTGGTAGTTCTCAAGTTCAAATTTTAACATATGCCAAATTGTTTATGAGATACATGAGAAGATCCATCTATGGCCATATGTAAACAAGATCTTATTATGTATCAACATATCTGAGATCTGGAATTGCCCTATGAATTTAGCAAAAGTCTCTCGTATCAGTCATCCTTTTCAATTTGTAAGGAAATATCTGAAGACCACGTGTATATCTATAAATACCATATATATTTTCAAGAAATTCAGTTGCATAGTGGTTTAGAATATCTACTTGAAACTAATTTAATATAAAATGTTGTTACAGGAACTCCCAACTTTTAAACTGCCAACTTTTGTTTTATGTAAATTTCCTGCAGTAAGCTGCTCCATCTTACTTACTTACTTACTCATGGAGCTGAGCCCTTCTGGAGGAGCGGCCAATTCTGCAGCTACTCAAGAATTTCCCAGCATTTTATGGAACCTGAAAGTTCATCACCGTGTTCACAAGAGCCTTCCACTGGTCCCTATCCTGAGCCAGACCTGTCCAATCCATACCATCCCATCCTATCTCTCTTAAGATCCATTCTAATATAGTCCACCTTCCTACGCCTTGGTCTTCCCTGTGGTCTCTTTCCTTCTGGCTTTCCCACCAATATCCTATATGCATTCCTCATCTCCCCCATTCGTGCTACATGACCTGCCCACCTCATCCTCCTTGACTTGATCATTCTAATTATACTTGGAGAAGAGTACAAGTTATGAAGTTCCTCATTATGCAATTTTCTCCAACCTCCTGTCACTTCATCTCTCTTTGGTCCAATTATTCTCCGCAGCACCCTGTTCTCAAGCACCCTCAGTCTATGTTCCTCCCTTAATGTCAGAGACCAAGTTTCACACCCATACAGAACCACAGCAAAATTATAGTTTTGTATATTCTAATTTTTATGTTTTTGAACAACAGACGAGAAGATAAAAGGATCTGGACTGAATGGTAGCAAGCATTACCCTAGTTCAGTCGCCTCTTAATTTCCTCCTGAATTAGGTTTCGATCTGTTATCGTTGTTCCCAAATATCTGAACTGTGCGACATTTTCAAAACATCTGTTTCCTATCTTTATGTCATGATTTTGCCCTGCATTTTGGTGACGAGACAGTAACATATACTTACTTTTCTCTGTGTTTACTTCTAGACCAACCTCTTTACTTGCATCAGTTAAAGTTTGTGTGTTTTTCTTTATGGTATCTACATTATCACCCAGTAGATTCACATCATCGGCATAGACCAACAGCTGATGTGTCCCGTTTAATTTCAGTCCCACCTGGTTTCCCTGGACCTTCCCAGTGGCACATTCTAAAGCAAAGTTGAAAAGGAGTGGCGATCAAGCATCTACTTATTTTAGACCATTCTGGATAGGAAATTTATCAGACAAATGTTTACCTATATGGACTTTACTATACGTTTCGTTTAAACACGTTTTAATCAACCTAACTAGTTTCATGGGTATCCCAAACTCAATTAGAATATTGTACAATACTTTCCTCCTAACTGAATCGTAGGCTTTCTTGAAGTCTATGAATATCTCCAATATCTGATGAATGCAAAAGATCTGATCTGTAGTTGATCTGTTACGTCAAAACCCACACTGGTGATCCCCAATACTTTCACTAATAATTTGCACTGTTTATAAATGGAATGTTCTGTACATTCAATGTAAGGTGAAACTCAAGCGGTTCAGCTCTGGTAAGCCGTACAAAGTCAAAAGTCAGTGTCAGTTTATGACTGACAGTCAGTCAGTTTGTCTTTGTGTTAAGCCCCATTACAGGCTCCTGACCAGATTTTAGTCTTGAAGTGGACAGCTACGGTTTTGCCTATGTTATGCATCCTCTCTGACGAGAAGCTGGGTCTGTCCCTTGTCAGTTGTCACAGTCAGTTACACTGTATATTACTTTTGTCCAAGTCTACGGTCTATGTCACAAACTTTGCAAGTGTACATACATGGCCTTATTTACAATATATACAAGAACTCTGTCAGTCCAGGCTAAGAATAGCAGATCATGCCGTATCTTAAGTAGGTCAGGCTACAAGAGAATCCTTGTTGCTTGAACGGTTGTAAGCTTGACCACTGCCAAGTTTAAGTCTCTTATATTCTCTGTGTTTGGCTTCGTCTTGTCCTATATAGCGAACATGTTTATTCTCATGATTTTGTATGACTTCTGTTTGTCGCCTGCACAATTTTGTTATATAATCGTATGTATACGAAGATTGAAAGCAGTGTCCAAATCACGGACCAGTGTGCACCTTGGAAAATCTTAAATGATGCAAAGAACCTTGTTTTGCAGGATCTGCAATTTGAAGAAATAGGTGTCTGCTGTTAATTCCCAGGCGGGTGTCATTACTGATCTGATCAGTGCATTGTGGAGGGTTATTTTAATGATGGCACATAAAGGCTCACTTTTGGATAAGGAGTCAAAGTCAGAGTCAAAGTGAGAGTTACTTTATGACTGGCCATTTACTGTCCATCGGTTCATCTTGGTGACAGGCCCCTTGAGCCCCATGACCAGAGTTTTTTTCCAATTGAACTCTTGATGCAGTAGTACTTATGTAACAACCCCTTTGATGAGAAGATAGGTTTGTCTCATGAATATGTCTGGCTTTTTGTCAAGTGTACATTTCGTACATATAGCATGTTACTGCCACGATATATTTATGAAATGTACACTTTTACGGAGCAGGTCATGCCTATCTTACTTGTCTTATACTACAACGGCATCTCAGTCATTTGAAAAGTCGTAAGCTTGACCACCACCAACGATGACTGAATGAATAAGGATTCAAGTCAAAGTCACATAATGGTTATTCAGTCAATGGGGTTCATGACCAGATATTTATTACTGTTTGCTAGTGCTCGGCCTTGTTTTTGTGAGGCGCTATCTCTGACAAGAGGATGGATCTGTTTTTTATATATGCTGCTGGCCTTTCCCAGTGCAGCCTTTCTCGTGTCCAAGTCCCTTGGTACTCATGACCATATTTTACTGTCTCAGATCTGAGACTTCCCTTTTCATCGCCTCCTATGACTTGCAGTATCATGGTGGGGGTATTCGACCCCGTCTCCACACAGGTTGAGTAAGGAGTAGTCAAAGTCACATTGCGACTGACAGTCAGTCAGTCAATCTTTGTGTCGAGCCCCATGAAGGGCTCATGACCAGATATTTATTACTGTTTGACAGTTACAGTCTTGTTATTATAAGGCACCCTCTCAGATGAGAGGACAGGTCTGTCTTTTGTCATAGTCATTATCTGCAGTAGTAAGTCATTTGTCATAATATGAAAAATGTTTACATTTTACATGTTAAACATGTTAAAAATGTATATACAAAGTATACAGGGCCTCTGTCAGTCCAAGCCCAGTACAGCAGATTTTGCCCTATTCTAGTAGTTTCCACTACAACAGCAGTCTGGTCACTTGAACGGTAATAAAGAGTAGATTCTAGTTCCTTGTTATATAGCTCCAGCACACACCGCACAGAAAACATCTCTTCCATCATTCCATGTTCTCTCATTGCCAGGGAAAGATCATGTCCACAGAGCTGTTCTGTAACAACGGATGTTGTACTGTCACCTGTTTACACAGCTCTTACTTGGCAATGGGTGTACATGTCAAATAATATATGTGCGTTTCTCCAAAAAGAAGTATTATATTAAAAAATTAGAAATGCTGAAAATGTCAACAAATATATGTGCGTTTCTCCAAAAAGAAGTATTATATTAAAAAATTATAAATGCTGAAAATGTTACACTTGGAGAGATGACTCTGGGAGAATGACAGATTTTGCTTTTCCATTTGTGAGTTGTGTGTAAGAATGCCTAACTGTGGTAATGGTAAAAAACATATGTTTCAGTTGCAGGAGAAGAGAGCAAGTATCTCGACTCAACGTTTGATGGCCAGACACTTAAAATATTTATAAGTGAAAGGTATAAGGACTGGGAAAAAAATGAGGTATGAAGTATCTCTAGTTTTTATTTTTTTCTGTTACTGCTAAGTTGCTGATTTAATGAGTAAATGACTGCTTCAAAAGTCCTCAAAGACTTAACATTGTCAGCACTGAAGTTCTCCACTAATCTGTAACTGAGCCAGTTCAATCCACTTCGTATCCTCAAAACAAATTTCCCCAAGATTCATTTTCATACCATTCTTTCAGTTCTCCCTAGCTATTGCAAGTGGTTACCTTCCTAGAGGCTCCTATGTTGATAATAAAATTCTTTATACATTTTTCATACCCACGTGCAGGCTATAGCTTGTGCTTATTCATACTTCCTTGAATTGCCTGAAGCACAACAGAAGTATTAGCAATACTTTTTAAAATATAATTTTGAATTGAATAATTAGGCATTATTGAGAATTCTTGAAAATTGTGCGGTAATACAATAATTTGTCAAGGTCCGTTCATCTGTTGAATTTGTCACACACTTTTAATGTGCTAGCAGATGGAATTAAAATGTAAACTTAATTAGACATACAAAGTTTGTGCTCAGAAAAATAAAAAATCCAAGAAAAGTATAATGAGTTTCAATTCTAGGGAAATTCTTTGTTCATTATTTTAAATTTTGCCTTTTCTAGTAACAAATCATTGTCATAAAACTGTAGAGAATCACAGACTCTAGAGCTATTGAATTCTGCTACTTATGTATGAGTATCATTGCCACTATAGAAATAGGAACATCTATATCCTGCCAGACAGTCAGGCTGCAATTAAAGCACTTGGTAAGCACCAAATCACTTAAAAAATGATTTGGGACTGCCACCAATTTCTCATACAACTGGTCAGACATACAGTACAACTGATATGGGTGCTAGGTCATGAGGATATTGTAAGGAATGAAACCGCAGATCAACTGGCAAAAACAAGATCTGAACAGCCGTTCATAGGACCTGAACCAGTTTGCAGCATCTCAAGTGTAGTTGCCAAAAAAGTGATCAGGGACTGAACTGATAGAAACCATAAAAAATACTTGGAATCCATAATTGGACTCAAACGTCAAAGGGTTTTATATCTGGACCCTCAGCCAGAAGAACGAAGGATCTGTTGAGATTAAACAGAGATCAACCAAGATGGGTGGTAGGATTACTTATTGGACACTGCCACCAGAAAGGGCACCTTTTCGAGTTGGGACTGACAGATACCCCAACGTGTGAAAGGTGCCTACAGGAAAATGAAACAGCCCAGGGACTGAACTGATAGAAACCATCCATAGTTATCCTGTGTGATTGTGAGGCCATAGTTTATTTAAGATTTCATCACCTGGGTGGAACCACGTGACTTTTATGACACCCGCATAAGCAGGGGCGTACACTTTATTAAATGTGTAGGATTAATAAAGGGCTAATCCAAGGGGAAGCACAATAGATCATTGAAGGTCGCAGTGTGGGAGCCGATTTTTATGGCTCACCCCATACATACATACATACATACATACATACATATATGCATACATACATACATGCATACATACATACATACATATATACATACATACATACATACATACATACATCATTGCCACTGCTAACTGATGCTACTTGTACTCCCCCAACCCATTACATTGCATCTTCTTTTATTTTAATGCAGCAATCATTTCACAACACACATTTACCCAGTTTTCGCATGTCTAAGTGATGCCACTCTTCTAGCACCATAGTTCCTTTATTCTAAGATGCACTTTTTTCACATAAAAATTGATGTCAGAAAAATGATATTATGTAACTAAATCAGAAGGAAAATCCTCATGACCATAGCACTAGTCATGGGATATCATGGGACAGGAAACACAAAGATAGCATCAAAGGAGATTTTGAAAGAAATTCTGTGTTTTTCTGTTGTTAAAAATATCATTATATATGACAGTGTACCAATGAGCCTGGTGGAGGTTGGAAGTTAAAAATACCAAACAGTTTTAATATTGGTCAGTACTCCACGATGAAGGCCCTGGGGTTAAAGCGGTAGTGGCGTGAAGCTGACCACTAAACTCCAGCTAGTGCTGAGGTCAAGAAAATGTATCTATACATCCACTCCCTCATTTGCCTTCATTGCATGGTGTTTGATTAGTTAAGCACAGAGGACAACTTTACTTTTAACATTTTACTTTACTCTATGATGAAGAGATCTAGGTCAGGACTCATTGTTACACCTATGCTCATTGTTGCATCTTAGAAGTCAAGGTTGCATCGTATAATCAATAATGTCTTTTTCTTGAAAATGTATTACTAAATTAAGGGTGTGTATAATTCATTCATTCATTTATTTATAGTTCCAAAAAATCCATAGAGGCATCTGCCTCAGATATAGAACAAGTCAATAATACAATATAACATATAAATATACATACATAATCAGATAGTCATCATCATCAAAATTTAAATACTCAATACAACAAAACTACTGTACAGCAATACATTCCATATATCAAAATAACATTTAAAATTACATACATGATCAAAAGACCACCAAGATCCTTAATATAGTAATATAAAATCTATTTTCTTAATATATAATACACCTGTATCACAACAGTAATAGCACCCTTTTCCTGAGTATTCATTCCACAGTCCATTGCATAGGCAACAGTGTTAATTTAAATATACATTTTATTCATTCATTCATTCATTTATTACAGTTAAAAAATCCACAAAGGGGTCTGCTTCAAATATAGAAGAAGTCAGCAGCGCAATATAACACATAAATATACATGCATAATCAGATAGTCATCATCATCAAAATTTGAAGGAATCAATTATTGAAGGAGTCTTAAAATCAAAGAAATACTATATTTAGCCTTTAAGAACTGTGTGTGATCATGTTTCTGTGTAAGACAGCTGCAGATCTTGATAGTATTTAATGTTAAGATCCCTCATGACTAAAACTGATCAGGTTGTTTCTTACGCTAAAAATTATACCATACATATATTGAAAATGAAATAGTATTCTCTGCATTAGGATCTTTTGTATTAGTGGTAATAGAATATTAATAGTAACTTAGTATTTTATGTTGATAATGCAATAAAATATACTTCTGTGAGTGTGTAATTTGCTTCAAATAGAACAACGTAAGTAAGTGGTGTGAAAATACTTTTTACTCTTGAAAGGGATTAATGCAGTAATCCATCCAAAAGGAAATCAGAATCATGCTGATAATCAGTTCCCTTTAAACACCTCCAGTGCCATGTCTTTGCACTATTTCTTGACACCAGGTTATTTAGATTGAATATCATTTAAATAATTTTGTTATAGTGAACGTGGCAGCTATATAAATTTGTTGTGTTTGGGTATTGATGTTATGTTCATATTTCTTATTTATTATAATTCAAAGAGTAATGCATAACTAGACCCAATTTTTAAATTGTAAAAGGGCATAAAACCCAAACATATTAATTTAGTGTGTAATAGTTAAGCTAAAAAATATTTTGTGCTGATTTATTCAGGTACAGTCTGTTTATTGATGTGAGTGCACATATATCCCTTACATAGATTATAGCAAGATTAAGAAAAACAATTTGAATAACAAAAATATTTCCAATTTTTTTCTTTTCAAGCTCAAGCCAGGTTGGCAATTAAATGGGAATGTGAATGCCATCGAAATCATATGAAATGCTATGCAGATTCCTTAGTATCAAAATCTAATGACTGAATACTGCACACAGAATCTATTTCTGATGCTGTTAAAGCTAATCTTTGTTATCAGAATCTATTTTCTTAAGATTCATATTTGTATCATTTTTCCATCTCTGTTCATATTGGCCTTCCCAGTAGTCATTTTCCAAGGATTTTTCTCGCTAAAATTTTCTATCTGCTTTATGTTTCACCATCTGCACTATATGCCCAGTCTGTTTTCATTTTCAGGTAACTATGCTAACAGTACTGGAAGAAGAGTATAGACTATAAAGTTGCTACTTCATATTTTTTTTTTGTTCTTTGACTTGAATATTTTCCTTGGCACTTTGTTTTTAATATATTTACCTAACAATATGAAATCATATCTCATAACCTTATGAAAAAAGCATAATAATTATTAATTTTAATCTTTTAAGTGTTCTGGAAAGTAAAATAAATTAAAACAGTTTTCAAACTGAACCTCATTTCTCTCTCTATCTCTCTCTTGCTCTTTTTTTTTTATAGTGAAGTATCTAAAATTTGACAAGTTGTCAAGATTTATAATTTATGCATTGGTCTTGTCACTGACTCTGGTATTATAATGTGTTGATATACTTAGCATTATGTCAATTTATTTCTAAACCATTTTCTTTAGAGCCTGTTAAGAATTCCCTTACTGTTCTTTTTAGCATTTACATTTAAAAAAATGAAACAGTACCCACTTGTTTCAGTCCATTGTGAATTCAGATTTATGAAAAACATGTTTACCTACTTGGATCTCATGCATGTACATTTTAATATGTCTAACATATTTTATATCAGTATTATCCACCTCATTATATAAAGGTCATTCATTAAGTGTGAAGGTATAGCTGAACTAGTGTTGGTTGACAGTCCTGTCTGAACCTGTCCAGCGCCCTTATTTGACTGGTGTTCCTTTCCCTAAAATATATATCTAGGCTTGAGATACTTGCAAACAGAAGATATTCCATGGCTGGAACATTTCACATTCCCTCTTAACCAAGTCCCAACTAACACTACAGAAGCAGAATATGAAGGTTCAGAAAGTTGAGTCTTTCAAGAAGTATTCTCACCAAGATTCTGCATAAATTCCTTATTTCAATCTTAGTTAGTAGTAGTAGTAGTAGTAGTAGTAGTAGTCTCATATTTCACCATCCTGAAACTCCATATTACCCGTCCAACAGTGTTTTAAATCATTACTTGAATATTTATATATGTTATATTTCTAGGCTGATGATTTCTCCTACTTTCTCAGTGTAATTTTGGAGCCAGACTGTAAACCTGGATTGAAAGTGGTAAGTTTCATATATGCATTTGTGAAATAGTTATGTATTTATTTCTTATCATAGCTATATGTAAAATGTAACAATCATTGTGTTTTTCAGGAATTCAGGGCAGCTATCGTTACATTTACAAATGGGTATGATCCTGTATTCCCGGAATCACATTACGACATTGAAGTGCCAGTGCCACTACCAGCAGGTTTCACCATTATTGGAGACTGTGGTGCTGCAAAGATTGAAGCAATAGATTATGATTATAATAGCCAATACATGAGTAGTGTAACGTTTTCTTTGAATGAAGCGAGAGAAGATCTTGAAGTATTTTCGGAAAAGAGTGATGGGAAAATTTGGTCTGTGAGCCTTAAAACAAGACAGACCTTTAGGATTGAAGAGCCACTTACACTTCATTTGAATGCTTATGTAAGTTTTTTAATACTTTATCCCTTTTGAAATACATTATTCTTGACGTTGATGTAAATCATAATTATTTGTCCTGGTCAGAGTGTGCAGAGTGAAGTGTCTTCTCTGGGCCTATTATGAAAGATCTCAACTTCAGATGAAAAAGTTATCATGCAAGTCTTCCTTTGATAAATGACAGGAAAAGTGTATCTGTAAAGGTGTATACGAGGGGGTACCCAAAAGAAACAGAACTTTTTTTTTAAAACTTA